ACTGCATTCATCACTGATTATACTGCATCTAGTGCTAGTTCTACTGTAGCCATCACTGATTATACTGCATCTAGTACTAGTTTTACTGCATTCATCACTGATTATACTGCATCTAGTGCTAGTTCTACTGCAGTCATCACTGATTACACTGCATCTAGTACTAGTTTTACTGCAGTCATCACTAATTATACTGTATCCAGTACTAGTTCTACTGTAGTCATTACTGAATCTACTGCATTCAGCACTAGTTCTACTGCAGTCAACTGACTCTACTGCATCCTGTACTAGGCCTGCTGCATCCAGCACTAGTTCTACTGCAATCATCATTGATTATACTGTATCCAGTACTAGTTTTACTGCAGTCATCATTGATTATACTGTATCTAGTACTAGTTCTACTGCAGTCATCATTGATTATACTGTATCCAGTACTAGTTTTACTGCAGTCATCATTGATTATACTGTATCTAGTACTAGTTCTACTGCAGTCATCACTGATTATACTGTATCCAGTACTAGTTCTACTGCAGTCATCACTGATTCTACTGCATCCTGTACTAGTCCTGCTGCATCAAGCACTAGTTCTACTGCATCCTGTACTAGTTCTACTGCAGTCCTTACAGACTCTACTGCAGTCATCACTGATTATACTGCATCCTGTACTAGTTCTACTGCAGTCATCACTGACTCTACTGCAGTCAACACTAGTCCTTCTACATTCTGTACTAGTTCTACTGCAGTAATCACTGATTATACTGCATCTAGTGCTAGTTCTACTTCAGTCATCACTGATTATACTGTATCCAGTACTAGTTCTACTGCAGTCATCACTGATTCTACTGCATCCTGTACTAGTCCTGCTGCATCCAGCACTAGTTCTACTGCATCCTGTACTAGATCTACTGCAGTCCTCACAGACTCTACTGCAGACATCACTGATTATACTGCATCTAGTACTAGTTCTACTGCAGTAATCACTGATTATACTGCATCCTGTACTAGTTCTACTGCAGTCATCACTGAATCTACTGCAGTCATCACTAGTCCTTCTACATTCTGTATTATTTCTACTGCAGTAATCACTGATATACTGCATCTAGTGCTAGTTCTACTTCAGTCATCACTGATTATACTGCATCTTGTGCTATTTCTACTGTAGTCATCACTGATTATACTGTATCCAGTACTAGTTCTACTGCAGTCATCACTGATTATACTGTATCCAGTACTAGTTCTACTGCAGTCATCACTGATTATACTGCATCCAGCACTAGTCCTACTGTAGCCATCACTGATTATACTGCATCTAGTGCTAGTTCTACTGCAGTCATCACTGATTATACTGCATCTAGGACTAGTTCTACTGCAGTCATCACTGATTATACTGTATCCAGTACTAGTTCTACTGCAGT